CACTGGGAAGTATGAGAAAGTGAGGGTGCCCAGAAGGGTATATCCCCAATCTATCCTCTCCCTAGGAATTAATTTTGATTGTATTGTGGTATAAATTATAAACCCTAAACCCTAAACCCTAGGGACAATGTTACAGGTCTCAGGGCGCTACAGCAAAAGGGGCCGTCGTAGTTGGCGTAGTACCTCGGTTCCTGCAAAGCTGGCAGTTTCCTCAAATAAGGGGACCCCAATAAAGACCCCCAATTATTAAAGTCCTTATCAGGGGGAGTCCCAAAAAGGTACCCTCAATTTGGGACACCCTAGACCCTGAACCCTATACATCCTTGTATACCCCTGTATAACCCCAATAACCCCTTTAAAGGTACCCCTGAATTCAGGAAACCCCAAGCTATCGTTCCTTTCCGCAGTGCGAAGGATGACAATTTCGACAGGCGACCCTGGCAGGCCGCAGATCAATCAGTAGGAATATCATTGTAGGCTTACAGGTTACATTGTATACGGATTACATAGGAATTATGTAGGGTTCAAGGGGGTATTACCCCAATTGTTGATTCCATGGAATCTCGGGTTATATAGTAGTTTACGGCGTGAGCGGAGGCAGTAAGGGTCCCCGAACTTTGGAAATCCCATGTTACTCCCTTGCTTGCTTGGCTGGTAATGTTCGGAAGGTCCCAGTCGTGGGCAGTTGAAGGGTAGACGTTAGGTGGACACCCCACCTGGTAGTGGTAACTATAATTAAGGGATAAGGGTGATTATCTTAGGGTGCCCTTACATTCCTGTTATCCCACTAGTACAAGGTGGCGGTCCACCTAACGCAGAGGTAGAGATTTCGGGGTCTGGGCGGATGATACAATCATATCAGAATAGCGTGTATATTGGGGTCATTTATAGAGTTATATCAGGAAGCCTTATCTGCAAACCCTAAATCTGCAAGCCCAAAACCCTAAACCCAAACCCTCAACCCAAAACCTTAATGCCTAAACCCTAAACCCTAAACCCTAAGCCAAGCCCGTGCCTCGTGCAGGAATGCTGTCGTCCCGAATCAGGCATGCGCCAGAAGGCATCGGGATGTGTTCCTGAAACACGTTCAGGTTTTAGGGTTTCGGGAAGTTTGAGGGATCCAAATAGCCCAATGTAGGTACTCTAGTACTGGAGAATCGAATGGAAAAGCAAATGGCAAATGACATGGAAACTAGGAGTGTATAGGGACGTATAGGGATCCAAATAGCCCAATGTAAGTAATATTTAAGGTGTTTTTGGGTAACATTTAGGGTGTAGGGTTTGGGGTTAGGGATTTAGGGCCCACTGTAGGTAATATTTACGGACTTTAGGGCCCAATCTAGGCAACATTTACAACACTTTGGACCCAATGTAGGTAATGAAATGGAAGCTGGGGGGATATAGGATAGTACGCAATAATAAAGGGTTTGGGGTTTAAGGTTGAGAAATGGAGATCTAAGCTTCACAAGAGTGATTGCTGCAGCGCATGGCTCAGTTTGTATAGCAAGTGTTGTTGACAAGGCTTTCATCGCACAGGGGAAGGACATGAGGGAATATAATTCCTGTTTATCCATATATGATATTTTCCCTTCTTTGCTACTAGCCCCCAGTAAGTCATGGCAAGAAGTTATCTCAGAATTGGACTTGAAGGCCAAGAAAGGCTTGACAAGTAAGCCACGAAGGCTGGATGTGACTCTGTTGAGTTGAGACAGGTCTACGACATTCTGTACGAAGACCTTCATCCCAAACTTTGGCCAACTCCCACGTCGGGCGCTGGGTGAAGGTCTGTGTTTGGAGTGCAGGCAAGGACATGATAAAGATGCTGCTGCAGAGCTGAATGCGATGTATCTTGCGGTGGGAACTTTCGCTTAAGTAGAAACACACCCGGAACAGCACAGTTGCAGAAGATAGTGACGTCTCCCTGACTGGATACCAGCTTTGGAGTAATTGGTATCCGCTCAGTTGCTGGAGGATGGGAGGGGCAGATTTCGCCTTTTCCTGGCCGATGGCTGATGCATGGACAGACTCCAGACCCGAAGGCCATTTTTTGTAGCGCGGTATTCGCGAAGCCTGCTCCAGATCCGCCAAATCGTCAGGCCAAAGCAAAATCCCGAGCGCAACGAAGACTCAACAGCAGAGAAATTGGAAAGCGCACGCAGGAGCAGGGCTAGCTGGAGTGGCAGCACTGAAGATAGAAACAGGCGTCCGGCAAGAACCTCAAAACTCCAAGTGACCTCCAAGGTTACTCTTCCGAGGGGTACGAGCCGTCTCCGTGGTGAAGCTTGAGCAAACATTCTCATCTTCGGTGTGGCCTGTACAGTAGTTGTGGTGTGCCAATTTTTGGGGGAGTATAGTTCAGCTCAGTAGTAATACTAATATTGCTGGTAGTCGCGTCATGGCACGTTTGGAGTACCGGACTCACAGACTATGTGTAAACGCGGAATTCATTTTAATAGGCGGTTCGCTGCATCCATGGAGCAAGCAGCCTTACGCCCCTGATAGATTACCAGCAGCATCATCATTTTGGGTGGTTGTTACTTTTGTTTGGGCGTGGGCAGGGGGGGGGGACTTTGGGGTAGGAATGCATAAGACACGTCTACGGTGGTGAAGATGGGCAAGAATAGAGCTTCTGAGGGCGCCACCCGCTGTCGGGGTAGGCAGATACTACGATACGGACCCTAAAAGGAACCATAATCTCACAACTTGCCATATCATCATGAGGAATCCTTCCTTTCACTACTTGCGTTTTTCTGATGATATTCCACCTGGTTCAATGCGATGCCCAAGGATGGTCGTGACCACCACCTTCGTCACAGCTGTGGCTACAGTGGAGGATTGGGGTGGATGGAAGGGACGCCGCTTCGCTCAAGTGGCTCAGTGGTTCTATTGAGAATCAATCTCTGTAGCTGCAAGGCTTACACATGGGTATAGGCTTGGGGCTTTTGAGTTGCGTGCGTAATAAAAACTGCGTGCCTTTTGTTGAGGGCCTTCTGAAGGGATCCATGAAGTCTTAGGTCAGGGAAGGGGCGGGAGGTTCATGTGTTCAAAGGCATTGATGTAGACATAGAGTGCCGTAAACCCTCCAGGGGACGCATCAGATAGTGGCTGCTTGGTCTTCATGGAGGGTTGCTGATCTAGATGCATAGAGGTATGATGGGGCTACTTCCTGACATGCAACTGCAGCAACTATTCCGCCTATGGTTCCGGCACTTCTCACTTGGAGGGTCAGGGGGCCTTAGTAAGTAGGTTACTAACCCCTATAACCCATATAGTAACCCTAATTCTTCCCATTGTTAACCTACTTACTAAGTCCCCATGACCCTCCAAGTAGATTTTGTGTGTCCGTTTGGGATCGCGTATCCACGTGGATGACAGCAGGGTTCTGGCTATCTGAGGAGATACATCCACGGATGTTGGCAAGGTTTTCTGGGTAGCTACTTGGCTCCGACTTGCAACTGGGGCTCCCAAAGCTAGGGGGGGTACCTCTTTGATGGGGGTACCAGTAAAAAGGGGTACCAATGATAGGATTATGGTATTTGGGGGGCTTTTTCTGGGGTCCCCTTATTTTGGGAAAGGACCAACTTCGTATGGATGATCCGGGGTGTTGTCATCGCAGCCAAGGTTGACATGGTCGCCACAATGCGAGGACCTTAGTTGTATGGCTTCTGGGAAAGAAATCCCTAGGGATCCAAGTATACAAATAATACCTACATTGGGCCCTAAAGGCTGTAAATATTACCTACATTGGGCTATTTGGATCCCGAAATAATGCTTTATAACAAGTTGACAAAGAAGTCCGGAGATGGAACAAAAAGCAGGCTGAGGGTCCACGTAAGGCGCCTCGGAAGCTGGGCGCTAAAAAAGCTCCGGCTGGCAAACATCGCAGGGACATTAGTATGAGCAATCATGACCATCAACTAAGTAGAAGCTTGATCAGTTGGGATGGAATGCCTATGTGGTAGTTTCCCAAAAAAAGGGAACCCCAATATAGACCCCAATAAACTATAATCCTTACTATTGGGACCTCCAAAAAGGTACCCCTAATTCTGGGAAAACCTAATCCCTATAATCCCCTGTATAATCACAGTTTCCATTTCATTTTCCATTTTCTTTTCCATTTGATTCTCCATTATAGTAGGTACCCCTAATTTTGGGAAACCCCCCATGTGCTTTCCAACTCGAGGTGGTTCATCTTGGAGTACATCTTACGAGTCGTTGCTACGGGCTGGCGACACCCAGCGTCCTTTGTGGGGTTGTGCGACGCTGAGCTGAGATTGTCCTGCTGATGAGTCCTGCTAAGAATTTCGCACACCAGTGATCACGAGTGCACCGCACAGCCAATTACACTTAGAGAAGTGATTTGGCAAGTTATGCAGGCTTGTTCCCTGCTAACCTGCTGGCACAACTGCATCTACCCCGGGCACGGCCTTCTAATCCTGTGGTTTGAGGATTCAGTCTTGTCGATGGCCCAAGGGAAGTTGATTCTCCTGACCCAAAATATAAGGCGCCAGTCTTTCACTGTGATCATTCACGCAGCTTAGAGTCGTAGTTTAAGCCAATAAGATGCTTTCAATCTCGGTGACCTGGTGGCGCAGCAGAGGCTGCTAGGTGCTGCAAAGTAGCTTGCAGTTTGAATCACCTATTTAGGTCACGGTAGTAACATAAAGAAAACGTCTTCCTCACCGTCGTACTTCTCAAGGATGCACGTTATACAATCGTGTTTTACTGAGTTGCTCCGAATTCTAGCACAACTGCAAAACCGGTGCTCCAGGACTTGATTTCTATCCTGGCATTCGTGTACACATTGGACCCTGCAAAGCGGCCTGAAGCCTTTCGTCCAGGCGCATCTGGCAACATGGAAGCTGATTCAGCAATGACAGACGAGCCATGTTTGCAGATGTCTTTAGGGCAGCCAACGTCAAGAGGACCTTGTAACCTTATTAGGAAGACTAATATCGATAAGCCTGTCGTGCAGTTGTTTAACTTGTTATTGCTTGCAGGCTATTCAGACGTGCGCTACCTCGTGGACAGCGTTGTGCTTTTGAGACTGCTCCGAGTTTTCAGCCTCGCTCCACGTCTTCAAGTTGGATGCTGTCACCTCGAATCTGATGATAATTCTGAGAATACTGGGCAAATTGTGACGACCTCATCCGACCTGACCCCAAATGGTGGATTACATAAAAATGGTCCCATATTTGCCGAATTTGAGGTTCTGAGTTTAGTATAAGTGTCAGGTAGAGCCTTTCTCCCAGCCAGTCTGGTGTTCAGTGGGTCGTGTATGTCTTGAAAGCCGAAGTGTCCGGCACAAATTAATTCGAATCTTCCATTAAGGGTTTAGAACGACGAACGTCTGTCAGAAATGCATAAGACGCTTTGTAACACCAGATCCTGCAAACCACAGACATCTGCTCACGTGGGCTGAGGAGAGTTACTACTACGCGCTTCACACTTTGCAGTGCGTGTCCTCTCCTCAGCTCCGTTGGGGTGCCTCCTGCTAAGCTCACAGGGACAGTGCTCAATGCCAGGCTTAGATGTTATGAGAGCCTTTTGCGAGCTTGTTCGTGTTTGCTTGAAGTCTAGCTCCATCTCAGACAGGTTATTTTGATGCACAGCCGGATCTTGCCCTTGTTTACCAAAATGCTATCTACATGCTTGTAATTCATTCCCACATGTCTTGTGTAAACTCCCCGCTTGAGGGACTCTCCTTCACAAACTGTTCTCAACCGATATCCCTGAACAGCTCCAGTCTCCTTATATCCGTTACTGTCACTCATCATCCTATTTGATTCCTTGAACTGTATTTCTATGTAGCCTTACATACCCTTGTACCCCTATATATACATGCCCTTATGGGCCCTAGAACCTAAACCCTAAACTCTGATAAATCCTACATTACCCCGCAGGCTCTGGCTGAACAAGTGGCCCCTGGCGAGAGCGGGCGGGGCGTTAGTCTCTGTTTGGTTTGTGCACGCCACACTGTTTCCAAGCTGAACTGGGATAGCGTTGGACAAATTCGGGCGACCTCACCACAAAGGGTGGTTTAAATAGACAACAGTCTCAACCTGCCTTGTTTTCAGGCTTTGGAATTAGGGTGAAACAGCAAGGTTTCGGGTTTCAGGTGGGAATGTTTCAATATTGATTGTAAAACCCCTGAAATATCCTGTAATTCCTGCTAGTTGCCAGTGTGGACAAACTCGCGCAATACACTTCACCTACCTAGCCCCTTAAACCCTGAATCCCCATTTCTTCCCACTTTCCATGTAATTTGTTATTTCCTTGTTAATTTGATTCTCCTATATCCCTATCTTACCTACCCGGTCCCTAGTAATCAGGATCCCCATAATCCCTTTAGTTGACTGCTGTGCCTGACAACCCCGAGGGCGCCCTGATGTCAGGGTGATTGTGTTTGGTAGGGCTGGCACAAAGTCATGATGTCCCCTGTTTTGGGTGGGGTCGTCGTGAGAATGGTTGTCAAATGGACCTGCAAATTGTCAAATCTGGGCGCCAGCACGCGAGGTTCAAGCAGCCAGGGGCCATGGTATGTCGTAGACATAGGGGCCCAGGATCTCCTAAACCCTAAACCCTAACGGAACAAGGATCTCCAAGTTGTGTGCTTCCTTGCTCGGATTTCGAGCTGGGCTGTGCTTTTTTGTTGTTCAAGACTGTGGTCCGCGGCACATGCCAGGGCCTGATTCAGTCTTCTCAAACCCGCCCATCCATCTCATGGAACACGAGGCGACTAGCACCTCCCGGTGCAGTGTGGGCCGGGGATTGTATAGAAAAACTACTACCATTTTTTGTCATCTTCTACTAAGCCCTACTATCCACAGTGGTATTTGTTCAGATGTTCCATCAGAGTAGAGGATGAAGGGATGGATCAAACAAGTGTTGGCTGTGTTCCCATTCTGGGCCAAGAGACAGAGCAACTCCATGACACGAAGCCAGGCTGAAACAGAGTGGTCTTTTAAAGCCTGCACCGAAACTCTTTTAGAGCCTTCCTCTGATACTTCCCCAAGAAGTGCAAATCCAAGTTCCCACCACGAATTCTTAAAGCTACTCGCAAGCTCATATGCCATGAAGAGGGCAATCCTTTATATACCCCAATATACTGTACTCCTTACTGTAGGTGCCCCCCTAAAACAGGATCCCTGATTCTTAGAAACACCTACATTTCTCACGCGCAGCCTAGGCTGTACATTTGCGAGAATCCGCGGGCTCTTGGTGGTGCAATTCCTCCTGTAGGTCGGGGACTCTGCATGCTGATGTTTACCACGAGGAACGGGATGGGTTGGGGATGTCTCAGCCGATCATCGTGCTAATGCTTGCAGGTGTTGGCCGGAGTGTACATGGCTGTTTTAGGCACTCTGCGCAAATCTCGTCATTAAGTCATTTGAGAATCAATGTTAATTACACATGGTATGTATTCGTTTTCGGATGGCGGCGGAGACCAGGCCCTGACGATGCTGGGGAAGGTGGCCATGAAAAGGGCGAAGGCGAAGGTGAGGATGACGATGGACTGACGCAGCTTGAAATCAAATTTAAGGGCTTTCCCGCTGGCATGTCTGGCAGTGGCTGTCCTTAGGCAAGTCAATCGTATGGGTGTACTTACGGAAGTTTGCGTTGATCGCGTTGCGTTCTTGAGTCTAGCCGTTCATTTTGTCCGTGCATTTGGCGAACCGCCTTGAACCTTTCTTGCTCACTTGGCCTTGGAACAGACTACGAATCCGTATGTACCTATAGACATCCATGCAATACATGAAGTCAGGAAAGCACAGATGCCATTCCAACCGTCAATTAGCACATCCTTGATCGAAGTCATCTAGCGTTTTTGCAGGCTCATTGGTGGAGGCGCATTGTCTCACGAAAGCACCTCCCACTCCAAGCGCCAAGGATGGTTCAGCGCTACAGGAGCGTACTTTCTGCACTCCAGTACAGCATCGTGCATCTTTTCGGTGACTTCCCGGAGACGGATTACACAACAGAGGCGCATGCCCGCTTTGAGCGCATGGAGAGAAATGGTAGTTTCCCAAAATTAAGGGTACCCCAATATAGACCCCAATATACTGTAGTCCTTATGATGGGGACCCCAAAAAGGTACCCCGAATTTTGGGAAACCCCTAAATGATGATGTAGGATGGATAAGTTACAGTTGCTGCCTGCGCTGCACGCCTTGGTCAGCAATGGGCGCTCCAGGCGCCCAGGACTTTTTGCCAGCCCATGTCCCTAAACCCAAAGAGCCTAAACCTTGGGTCGTTCCCCCTCCCAGTAACTGTCCTTAAAGGGGCCTTATTTAAGGGGGTTCTTATAACTCTTATAACCCATTGTGGTAACACTGTAAGGGGGAATGACCCCACCTAAGCCCAAGGACTTTAAGAGTGAAGGCTCTTTCCTGCTTGTTGGTACCCCAGGCCAAGATGGTCCACTTTGCTGGCATCATGGGAACTTCGGCTGCAGCAAAGATTCTGACAGGTCTGTGTGTGTAGGCTGATGACCTGCTAGAAGGTTTGGCTGATTGGCATTGAAGGCCTGAAGCTGCCATGAAGGATTGCCTCTTTGATCTTCCTATCTTGCACCGGGCGCTGGCGCGTGTCCAGGTGCTCGAAGAATGAAACACTATCATATACCATACTATACTGCAATATCCTATGTTAGACTATAGTATACTATAATTGACCATAGGGTATATATGGGGTTATATATCCCTATCTGTCGTGTCATGCATAGAAGTGATTCGAGTCAGTAGCGCTTCAAGGGAAATACTTGCGCGGAATTGGCTGTAGCTTATACAAGAGATCTTCAAAATCCAGCGAATGGAGGCCCTGTTATGGGAATGTCCACATGTTCAGACTGGTAGCAACTAGAAAAATTGCGCATACCCAGACTTTGAACTGCTTGGCTGTTAAGGGGGGTCCAGTGGGCAATGTAAAGCATCCTACCAACCTTCTTACCTACCCCAAGACTTCCACAGATATTCAAAGTTGTTGTTTTTTTTTTATCTTCGAATCTGGCCTCTCCTGTTTCTTATTAACTTGTGAAAGAAGGGAATATAGTGTTTGAGTAATTGGGCCACGACTTGAATGCCACAGTCGATGCGCCCCAACCCAGAATCGTAGCCCCAAGATTTTGTTCAGGTGGAATTGCCATTAAGGAGCTAAAATTAAGTTACCATAATGGGTATATATAGTAAATCATAAGGTTTCCCCAATATGGTAACTTAATTTAAGTTCCTTAACAGCAACCCAGTTTGTTCAGGTGGGATTGCCATTATCTCTACATTCTGCGGCGTCTTCAGTGCTGGCTTTGTTGACTACCTAGAGACCTCGCGACATCAAGAGGCCTGGGCCAACGTTTCGATTCAAAAGTCCCTACGAAAACTGTTAGGGGATACTTGGGTAATATAGGGGTAATATAAGGGTTATGCAGGGATCCTGGAAAAGAAAACGGAACTGCTACTGTAGAATGGGCCATATATTTATCTTCTTCTGCACGCTAAAGTCTGAACTCCTTAAAGGGGGCTTATATAAGGGCTTATATAAGGGTTTATTTTAGGGTATCTAAGGGGGAGACTAGAAGTTTAGATTATAGCTCAGATAAACGCTCAATACTTTGACATGAGCAAAGGAGCAGCCGCAGTGCTGAGATACATAGGCCACAGGCAGTCCGGGGGGCGAGGCTCAAGAGAGATTACGGCGTTGATATTTTGAGCACCACCCTTTGTGGTTTCCCCCCAAGATAAACCTCAAAATCCTCTTGAAGTCTAAAGGTGGCCCTATCTTCATGAGACCCGCCATGTACCTTCTATCCAGGAATTACATGGTATTGGGGATCCTCAGTGGTGTAAGATTTCCTCAATCCACCATATAGCAGTTTCCATTTTCTTTTCCATTGTCCCCATATAACCCCTACATAAGCCCTAATATAATCCCTATAATATACACCTTAATATAACCCCAATATAACCCTAATACAATGTGATAGCGCGGGAGGTTAGCCAGATGTCCTCGGACTTCCTTTCTGCCACCGTAAAGATGAAGATCGGCTTGAAGAAGGCCATCGAGAACAGGCCCCAGGGATGTGCACTGCAGGGCTTTTGGTTTAGGGATTTAGGGTTTAGGGTTTAGGGTTTAGGGATTTAGGGATTTAGGGGTTAGGGCTAGGGTCCAGGGACTTGATTGGTTTACAGTTTGGGGCCAGTTTGGGGGTGCAGGGTTTAGGGTTTAGGGTTCCGCATAATGGAGAAACGAACGCAAAATGAAATTGACACTGGATAGGACTATAGCCCCCCAGCCGAGAGTAAAGATAATAGTCTTCGTTGTATTTGATAAGACACCATTATCTTACTTGGTTCCACTGCCAAGAAGCTACTGGCTTCACATGTTTCAGGACTCGCCAATGTTCATTCGTGCTCCAGGGGAGGGAGACCGGCCTTTCAAATGGGTTGAACCCAAAGCCTTGCCCATACACCCACACTAAGCCCGTCATCCCTAACTACTTGCCTACACGCGCTAGTCACATTTCGAGGTAGATTAGGGTTCAGGATTCAGGCTGGCAGGGCAAGACAGGCCGATGTCGGCTTGGCAAGAAGATGCAGTCGGAGGAAGCTGCGTAGGTCAGACCCCCCAAGCACAATAGGCCTTCTCACACATGTTACATGGATGCGAACCGTTCGCAACACTCAAGAACTTTGCCAACGCCATAGTAGTATCACAGTAATATAATACTTGTGATATCTCATATTAGCTAATACTAGTCGTAGAGAAAGAAGTAGTAGTGATAGTTGAATATTAGTCATGGCAATAGATCACCTTCACTCCCGCGAGGCACTAAATAGGTAGGGTCCAGGATTTTGGGGTTTTGGAATTATCTGCGATTATGGAGCAATGCATGGAAATTACAAGACGGCATATGCTTGGAGTATTCCTGAAAGGAGCTCTAGAACCTAAACCCTAAACCCTAGAACCTAAAACCCAAGCCATGAAACCTAAACCCTAACCCTAAAACACAAACCCTAAGCAAAACCTATACCCTAAAACCTAAACACTGGTTGCTATCCCTCTCCATCCAAGGCGAGCAAGGATCAACTCGGGACAGTCTTCTTTCGTTGCGCAGGCGCAGTTCTGCAGCCTTGAGCTGGAAGTTCATTCTCTACAGGGTCTCAGTAGGGAATGAGGGAATATGAGCCCTATGTAATCCTTACGGGGGAGTATTATAGGGTATTAAAAAGAAAATGGAAACTGCTACATTACAGTAAGGCATCTATTGGGGCTATCGTAGGGAAAAAGGGAATATGAGCCCTATATAATCCCCATATGATGTATTCCCTGATTCCCTGCTAAGCTCAAGGAAGATTGTGGAAAGTTGGGAATTCATGATGGACATTCTCAGAACAGGACCGAGCCTTGTAAGTGGCGAGGATCGAGATTCAAGGGCGTGGCTGTGTGCGAATTTCTGAGCCTGCTTGCCCAAGCTCAGTAAGAACGAAAGGTATCGCTAAACCAAACGCAACGGATAGTTTACGGGTGTGTTCTTCTGCAAGTTGCATCCCTGCTTTTGCTTGAACAAGTGTGCGGCAGTTTCAGCATGATGTAAACTTCTGCACGGGTCTAGGCAAGGTCAGCTGTTCTGAAAGCATACTGTGCACCTCAGCATAAGCAACCCCCAGACTCTGACATACAAACATCTTCCGCCCCTGTCATATTGAACCCCTCCACCATGTGATGAACATTATTGCTATTTGCAGGGAATACAGGAGTCTAATCTCAATAAGCCCTATCTGATGTATTCCCTCCTTCCCTACTAAAGAACCCGTAAGTCATCAGGCCACAACATTGACTAGGTTAATCCAAGACATCAGCTACTGCATCCAGGCCCCAAGCTCCATCCAGCGATTTGCGCGTGTAGCGTGGCGGCTACTTGAGTCTTTGTGGGCGTCAGGAGGTGAGATTTTACGGTTTATGTTGCGGCCTGTAACAGTTAAATACTGTTAACAATATAGCTCTATATAGCCCTTAATATGACTCTATCTTAGGGGCTCTTTTGACGTCCGGCTGTTGATGGAGCTGCCAATGTTGAGCAGGAACCAGAAATCGAGTACCAGCAGCGTTGAAGGGGAACTGTTCGCGGTTGCAGATCAAGGGTAAGAAGATGAGCCTTGCTTCCTACTTGATCCAGCTGAGGCAGTCAAGTATTGTCGAACGCCCACAGGAGTTGCTGGTCAATATGGGCGGGGCTGTGAGAGAGGTCGGTTTTCGCAGGCAATAGCTGATGACCCAGTTCAAGACTGTTGTTCTGGTATATGCACAACACGGCCCGAACTGGATTTCTTAGTTGAGTCACGTTGCGTCGCTTCTTTCACAGCAGGAGCCTGGATCCAGCTTGTTTTCAACTTCGTGCTGGCCACAAGCTCAGTTGACCTGGTGGAGTCATAAGTCACAAGTCTGCCAGATCCATTTGCCGTTATTATGTACTAATACTAATAATGTATCATGATATACCATATCAGGGGGTTCCATGTTCTTTTCCATTATCCCTATGTAAGGGCTGGTCCTTTTGCTATCGTTTAGAAAATTTGCTCACGCGCCGCAGAGTCTTCCCAATATTTCTTCATTTGAGTTTCTGCATGTCTGATTCACCCTAAACCCCTAAACCTGTCTGATCTAGAATCCCTCATAAGGACCCAACAAATCGTCTTGGATTCCTATATGAGCCGTAGTCTAAACTCCTAGTATATAATACCTTAAATCACCCCCTTGAAGGAAATAAGATCCTGCCTGGTATATGCTTAGGATCTCTTGGGTTTAGGGTTCCCCTAAACCCTAAACCCCTAAACCCTAAACGGTTTGGCGGAGGCTACCATTTTGAGAAACTCCCATGTTGGCAAGGTGGTGAGCTTGATCAACACCATGTTTTCTTCAATCCCTCAAGTCGACACCTGAGCTGAAGGGTTCAGAATTTTTTGGCTTAGGGTTTAGGATTTGGGGTTTAGGGTTCAGGGTTTAGGGTTCAGGGTTTGGGGTTCAGGGTTTAGGGTTCAGGGTTTAGTGTTTAGGGTGCTTACATGTCGTCGAAAGTCGGCCGTATAGCTACGGCTGTCAATATCGGATCTCTCGTCTAAAGATACTGCGATCTCTAGCGCTGGGGACTGAATCACTTCTTTGGTGGGCTTGAGGCAAAGGGGGAGTCAACATTTTCTAGTTACAGGTGTCATTGAACTCTCAGTCTCCTGAGGAAGAAAGACGATATCCACTTTTTGTCATGCTTCTCATGAAGATGAATACCTGCTCATGGGTGTGAAGGTTTGTGTGTGCGCGTGTCTGGCTTCAGGGCTACTATCCAGAGTGCAGCATGTTTTTGCATCGGTTACAGACCAGATTTCAAGGCTCATGCAGCCAGTAGAAGCCAAAGATGGGGCGCGATGCCTTGAAGTCGTGGTGGGTCAGTTGCCGTTAGTTTAAGGAGAGCACACCAAAAGAATCGTTTCTAATAGGTTTTCCAACAGTATCTCTATGGAAAGTTTTACCCAACATCAGGATATGAAGACCTGGGGTGCCGAAGCTTCCTTTTAGGTGGCTCGGGGGAATTGATCCCTAACCCTAAGGGTCCAAGGACCCAAATAATAGGGTTTTAGGGCCCAAATACTATACTGTTAATGGTATTTGGGACCTAAAACACTATTATTTGGGTCCTTGGACCCTTAGGGTAATATAGTTATCATTCATCTTCCTCTGCTGCCCATACACACCCGTGCAAAAAAACAGAGTAAGCTTCATGGCAACCATTCAGCCTGCAAATCTCTGAGTCCGAGGTAGCCAGGGGCCTTCAGGGCTCAGCTTTGAAATTTCCCAGGGTTTAGGGTTTAGGGTTTTATATTTGGGTTCTATTAGGGTTATATTAGGGTTTTATTGGGGTTGTATTGGTTTGTAAATTGCCATGCTTGACCTTTGCCCCCACAAGTCACCCGAATTTGTCGGATCTAGATCAGGAAGTTTCCAAGCTATGGCCAGGAGATATCCTGTAGTTTCTCTTAGATAAACTGATGAGTATTGTTATGGATGAAGCTACAAGAAGTAGTGTTTAGCAATGTATCTCCCTAGCGTCAGATATTCCCTGTACAGCCCAGCTCAGTTCTCCAAGCAAGCAGCAGATTTCGGACGTTGGAACCTCAAACCCTAAACCCTAAACTCTCAGGATAACACTCCGGCTGCTGCTACTGTGCCTTGGATATCCTGTGAGTTCGGAGTCCAGGGTGGGCTCTTGCCCTACCCTAAGGGTCCAAGGACCCAAATAATAGGGTCCCTTTAAAGGGGTTATAGGGGGATATATAGGGATATATAGGGACTATATAAGGGTCCAAGGACCCAAATAACTGGGTTTTAGGGCCCAAATACTTTCCTGTTCATGGTATTTGGGACCTAAAACCCTATTTTTTGGGTCCTTGGACCCTTAGGGGCTAACCTTTTAGCATGGTTGAAGCAACATCCAAGGCATGCCTCATCGTGGAGGGCATTTGCACTCTCGTCTTCGTAGCTGATTACGCAGCACAGCTGAGCATGGTGGGATGGTTGGTAGAAGAATTTCTTGGTGCCCCAAGGGGCCTGCTGCAGTTGAGTTGTTATTGTTGTGCAGTTGTTTTCGGTCACAGTAGACTCGGTCTTGAGGTTGAAGGAATCATGTTGCAGGGGCTTTCGTGTTCGCGGGACAGGAGTGAACCTCTCCAAAGCCCAATGCATTCAGGGGCCTGCGTGCTCTCCCGAATAAGACCACTGAGGAGAAGGTAGAGAGACTCTGTTCCGTGTTTGCTTCCGTATCATCATGATCGAACTTACTCGAAAAAGAAGAGGGGCAGTACAGCAGCAGCTGCTGTCGCAGCAATAATCCTAGACTCAGGATTGAGTGTATGTGTCTGGGTGGCGGTGGAAGTTGCGGCACTTGTCCCTGAACCCTACTTCCATTATCTTTCCCATCTTCATGGTACTAGCAGGGTACATATAATCCCTCGGGTATATTATGAATACATATATAGATATATATATATATGTATCTGTACATATATATATATATACACATACACACACACATATATATATATACATGTACATATATATATATATACACATACATATATACAATTTCCCCATCACCCCTTTATCTGGGGTCCAACTCCTCGCAGCCTGGGCTCACGGAGCCATGGCCAGAATGGCCAGGGCGCCAGCGGCTCGGGGTGTGCCCTTTTGCCGACTTAGTCGGCTGGCTGCCCTGGGGGCCCTCGTGGTACTAGGCAGGGTTTAGGGTTTAGGGTTTGGGGATTTAGGGTTTAGGGATTCAGGGTTTAGGGTTGAGGGTTTAGGGTTGAGGGTTTAGGCTTTAGCTGGGCAGAGCTGTGGTATTTGGGTTTGTTTGTTCAATCGTTCTTTTGATGGTCGCCTTGCACAGTAGACCCCCAAGTGTAGTACAGGCGTACGGGCCACCGCCTAGATAGGACACACAATCGGTAGTTATACTATTGCAATTATTGCTAATTTTTTTTGGTACAATTATGAATTTTGCTATTATTAGCCCACGCCAGGCAATGGTTGGTGCTTCTCCCAGCCGAAAGCTCGGATGACAAAGTCTTGCCAGGCAGCGGCACTAGGCCCCAATCCCAACCCCCGAGAGTTGAGAGAGCTGGATAGAGCGCTGCCGCAGTACATGGTGGATTACTGCAACGGGGATGCAAGGAAGGCCATGAACAAGTGGGTGGAGACACTGAAGTGGCGGTGCGAGATCGATGACGAGGGCATCTTTGCCCAACCGAGTCCAGATTTCTTTACGATACAACGTCACTATCCAACTTTCCTTCATCTCCCCGACAAGGCTGGACGGATGACATATTGGGTAAAAGTTGGTGATCTGAACCCACCTGGACTGGATAAGGATGGCATGACAGTTGAGCGCATTCGGGATGACTACTTGTGGCAGACGCTGTTTACCTGGGATGTTTGGCTAAAGCGTGATGACAAGCAATACCTTACAATTGTCTTGGACATGGAAGGATTTGCCCTCTCCAAAATCACCCCCAAGATGATGAGGGTCTTTGCTGCGTCTTACGGCGCTGTACAGGCGCACATGCCCGACCGTGAGCGACTGGTGATTGTCGTGAATGCACCAGAGTGGTGGCGGACGGTTTGGGCTGTTTTCAAACCTTTCCTGCCGGAGAGGCAGCAGGAACGGCTCAGGGTCAGTGTAGGGCAAGAGGAGTCCATAAACTTGCTCCGGGAGCTGATCCCCCCCAAGAACTTGCCCAAGTCTTATGGAGGATCCGGTATTGAGCTCGGCAAATCTCCGGCAAACGTGCTCCGGCAGAAGTACGCAGCCGAGGGCACTGGCAGGTGACACGTAGACAGTGGGCCTTTTGTCAAGTGCCTCTGTATATCGTAGTTTCCCAAAATAAGGGGACCCCAATATAGACCCCAATATACTATAATCCTTATTATGGGGACCCCTAAAATGGTACCCTAATTTTCGGAAACCCCCATATTTCTCCGGTTGTCACAGAGAGAGGCGCTTTGCTCAAGATTTGCTTGATTTGGCGCTGCGATCCGTACAGAATCCTGGCTCAGCCAGGCTCCGAAGTGCCTGGCCAGGACGAGAGCTTCTCTCGAAGACTTACGGTTCATGGACAAAACCCTGCATGATCCGAACTATAACAAGTACCATAGTTCCAAGTGTATAGGAAAAGGGTGATGCAGGATTTTGTCCATCAACAGTAGGATGGCTCAAGAAACTCCAGACCTTACTGCGGGCAAAACGGTCGGAGTGTCGCTCAGTCTTTATGATTCGAGGCTTGCCTCACGAGGGGAGTTCTCGCAGACACGAGCTATATGTTGGAAGAACCACAACTCCTGGAAACCAGGCAGGGACCGGTATGCGCAGGTCTTGTAGAGACCGCTTGGAAGTATATTGTGTTGGTGTCTTTGTGGCGGTCTATCCTTTGTCAAGTCCTGTCCTACACCGCTGGAAGGAAAGCTTATACAAATTGAGCCTAGGCAATTCGACTCCTCGCCCGGCCGAAGAGCGAAGCGGCCTTAGCCACACATGCTCCGGGCCAACTGAGAAGTGTTTCATTTGGGGATGGTATGGTACCAAGTATAGAGTAAGTTTACACCCTCCTTTTGGGTCTTGTATTTCAAATGCAGAATATCATCTTATTTGGTTCAAGCATCAAGAAAACCCATTGCTCGCAACTTTACAGCCAGGGGTCCACCTCAACACGCAAGCAATGTTCCGTCTGCATTGCTGGCTTCGGGTGCAAACTTGCAGGAAACAATGCAATTTAACTACCGTACTGCCTACATGTTTGGATTTGGGGCTTTAGGATTTTTAGGCAGCCAGGCCAGTAAAGACGAGCTTGGCTGAATTGCTGTATTCCTACTGCTGCCTTGCAAAACTAGAAATGGCCCTTCACATCTCCAAGCGGCTTCTCAGTCATTGGATCAAGAACATGCGACCTGCTATTCCATGGGACATGTGAGCTCTGTAATACAGCAGCCCACATGACTACCAATATCATTGCCCCTGACTCTCTGTACAACTCTGGAGTATGGGGTACCTCGTAGACCTCAACAGGATATGGGCAATCATCCAGGCCCCTACACTGCATAATCCCTATGACCCCACTACAGGAGCCCTCATCCAGGCCCCTACACTGCATAATCCCTATGACCCCACTACAGGAGCCCTCATCCAGGCCCCTACGCTGCATGATCCCTATGACCCCACTAGAGAAGCCCCGCTGTTATTTCAATAATATCCCTACATGATCCCTCACCCTAAACATCCCTACATACTAGATTGTAGTTTCCAGTCTTTCATTCTCCCTATAGAAACCATGTTTCTTGGCGGGGCGGGCTCAGGCCTTCCATTTCTTCGGCATCATCGAATCTTAGCTGCAATAGTTGAGATGGCCTGCCTTCGTCACTTTTGAATGATAGGTTTCCTTGTGAAAAACAGCTGCTGTTCAAGAAGTAGCTGTGTAGCCGTTCAAACAAACTTGAAGATATTGTCTATGGAATGTCACTCATTCCAGCCAAGCAGGTACATTCCTTCACTGTCTCTTTAGACGAATCTCTTATAGTCGGTGAACACGAGTTACATGAGCTACATAAGAATCTTAGTAGTGGTTGCCTGTGTGCTGTGACATGGGGGTTTCCCAAAATTAGGGGTACCTTTTGGGGATCCCTATAATAAGGACTATAGTATATTGGGGGGTCTATATTGGGGTACCCTAATTTTGGGAAACTACCACATAGCTTCCGCAACAGTGTTCTTGGTAACGTGATGTGGTCTGAGGACTTCATTGGCTGTCTGCCGGGAATATTTGTCTTCTACAACTGGATTTCACAAGGCTCGCCTCCTCAGGTCAAGTTTTAGGATTGCGCTACTTTGAGTTCGCAGTCCTGGGCACATGTTATTGCGCCCTGTGTTAAGAGACATTTTTGCGACTCTGCCTCCATTACCCGGATGTATGTTCTGGGTCTCCCGCAGAAGGAGCTCAGAAAATGATCCCAAGTCGTACCCTTAGTTCGCATTCAACTCTTTATTGCTGTTGGTAGATGCAGGCTTACTAGTCACAGCATTTCCATCGGAGAGTGGTCACAATCAGTTTCCCCTTTTGCCGGCTATAGCGGCTGCAGCCACATCAAGGATCCTTTCATACTACGTGAAAGGTGTTGAAACTATTTCTCACGCGATCCATGCGCCGACATGCCGCAGGTCGCTCCAAGGAGTCTGCCGCAGAAGCATTTAGCTGCTTGCCTCACATGGCCGTAATGTGACTGCAGCAGCCAATGTCGTACAGCAGGTAGCAACACTTTAAAGCAGCGATCAAGGAAGAAAGAACCACACTAACAGATGGTGGAAGTACATGGCAGCAGTAATTTCAGAATTTGGCTGTGGCTAGCAGTAGCTGCAGCAGTGCCTGCGGCGGGGGAGCGGCGGCAGCGGCGGTGGTGGCGGCAGTGTCACTTGTGTCAGCATGATTGGTTGGCAGCAACGTCTACAATACGCTTCCATTTCGGAGGGTGCAGCAATGGAGGAAGGTAACGGAAGCAGCTGCTTGAGGATGAGCTTCGGGTGACGCTCAAAGCGCAAGACATCCTCGCCCCACATCCCGCCTCCTCGCGTCATTGGGTTTGAAGTGGGGTTTGGAATTTCTCGACTGAGGCCTTTTTTGGTTTCATTACCAGCACAGGCTGGCGTGTGGCCAGGAATTGTTTTAGTCATGTTGGTGTCATGTTTTGTCATTCCAGTTGTGATTTTGTTGTCATTCTGTTGTCATGTCTGTTGTCATTCTGGTGTCATTTTGCTGTCATTCTGCCACGTGTGTGAGGTTTGGCCATTGCTTGATCATTTTTACCACCCTTTGTGAGTCATTCCGGTTTGGCCATTGCTTGATCATTTTTACCACCCTTTGTGAGTCATGCCTTGTTGCGTTTCTGCAGCGAACAGGAGGAATGTTCAATGGTTAAACGTCTGAGCTCCTGGTATAAGGCCATGAGGCCATTATTCGAGGTCCCTGTAATATCCTCGCGCGCGCACTCAATTTTTTATTGGTCGGGGAGGTCTGCCAGCGTGTTTGGGGCCGAAAGGGCAGGGTGGCGGGGTCGGGGTGTTGGTGTGGGGTGGGGGGGGAGGGGTCTGGGGGGTGCCTGACGGGCTCAAAAACGCGCCGTTTCCTGGAGCATTATCATTTTCTTCTCATGTGGAGTCAGTCTTGTTATTTTTCAGTCATAGTTTTTGTCATTCCAATTTGTCGGGCATCTCTCTGTCATGTTTTTGCATTTTAAGGGTCGTTTTTTGTCATTGCGAGTCATTACTTGTTTCTCGAGTCTTTTTTATCATGTTGGAGCCTTTTTCTGTTTTTGGGAATCATTTTGGACACTTGTTGTTGTCCCTCTGTCCGGCCCGCGTCCCTCACTTCCTGTCCCCTCCCATCCCTCTCCCACCCCTCCCGTCTCTCCGTCCCACATAAGAAAGATCAAACGAAAACGACGCAAGAAGCAGGAATAAGACAAGGAAAGGAAAACAATGCCAACAAAATCACGAAACAGGACAGACATAATGACAACGGGCTTGCATGCAAGCAAGCCGCCGCGGCTCAACCTTGCAGAAGGCAACGCGTCGTAGGAGGGTTTTGTTTTTGTCGAGATGCCACCACGGCACGCTCGAAGTAATTTCAGGTCGAGATGGTGCACATGCCTAGTGGAGGTCTCAATACTGAGCTGTAACTGTACAGATACCTGTCATCGTTTTAAGGCATGTTCCGGGCCATACGGATCCTCAACTTCCCCATCTTCCAGACTGAAGTCCGGATTATTGGCCGTGCCCTGAGAGCAGCGATAGGAGCGCAGGTCTGAATTGTCATCTGCTTGGCACCATTCTGTTGTTACCGTGGGCCTCATAAGCAGCTGGCTCAACGCATCAGAGGGGTGTGACATGCAGCATCCAAGATAGGAGTTGATCCTAGGCCAGAACAGGCGGTCAGGGTGTTCTTGAGGTGAGAAAGGTTGCAGCTTTCGATATGTCCTTCTTTGTGGCTTTCAGGGAGGGCACAAAGGCATCAATCAACCCTGAGTCCTTGCAGTAATCTTTGGGAAGCCGTGGCGGAAGCTAATTCATGTAGCACGTGGGCAGGGGTCAGCAGTGAACCCATCCCCATCCGTGCTTGGCCTCTGGTCTTTTGTCCATGATGTGAAGTAGAGGCCTTCCATCCTCCACCTGAGCCCTATTATGAACACTGCAGGACTGCCTCTGCCCCTAGAAGCAGATTCTGGGTGACCCCCTCTGATGCCCGTCACCCGCTGATGGCCAGATCGTTCGAAAAGTTGGCGAATGATTGAGGTTCGAGACCCCCCAAAGCTTCGTGTCAGAACCCCAAAGCTGCACTGGGCTTTTTAGTTCATGGAGAGCTGTTGCCCCTTACCAGTTTTTCTTGGCAGAAACAGGGCAGGTTGCAACAAGAAGCAACCCCAATATAGACCCTAACATATTATAGTTGTAAATTCTAGGAACACCCAGAAAGCAACCCCCAATTTTTGGAAACCCACATCCCTACAAACCACTATACAACCCCTGTTTGAATTGGAGACCCCAAGTCCTGGAAACCTTGTAGGTCCCTGTTATCCCACATGAAGCCCAAACCCCAAACCTTAAATCCTCCCATAAACCCTAAACCCTTATAATGGTCCCCTATATAACCGCCAGAAAAGGGACCCATATCATCCTTGAGAATTCCTTGCCGTTGCTTGTGAATAGCAGCCAGCTACTGGAGGTCGTGTCCTGCGAGACGCCAGTGGGAAACTTGCGGTCTGCTTCCCAGAGAGGTATGATAAGGG